ATATTATGAATGTAAGATTTATTGCCGAGGTAAAATGAGGAAACTGAGGCAGGTATAAAAAAGTGAGAAGCCAATTTATTCAGCTCCTGGGCAAGCTTCAGTGGCCCAAGTGGGGGCCAGAGAAGTCGCACCCGGCTGTTCAGGGCGTGGGGTTTTATGGGGAGTGCAGGCAATTGATTGGTTACTGGGGAAACAAAGAGAAGGCATTTCTATTGGTTGTTGCGGAGTACGAAGTACATGGAGTTAAAGTAGGAAGTACATGAAACTAGCTGCCATTGGTAGGTGGGACCTTGGGTAAGTGAGTCTTGATTGACTACTGGGGAAACAAAGAGAAGGCATTTCTATTGGCTGCTGAGGAGCAGGAAGTACATGGAGTTAAAGTAGGAAGTACATGAAACTAGCTGCCATTGGTAGGCGGGCAGGACCTTGGGTACGCCTGCCGGGGAAGTATGGGGCAGGCAGTTGCTGGGCAGGGAACGGTGGGGCTTCTTTAAAAAAAATTTCTCTGCAGGCTCTTTTAACAGTAGGCTGGAGGTTGGATGCATAATTTAGTGCTGAGTGTGGGCGTGGGCATGGTATGCAGAAGCGGGTGCAGGGAAGCTTTGTGGGGAAGCCAGATAATGAGCTCGGGTGATGACGCAGTTATCAGGCGTGGAGAGTGATGAATGTGTCCGTTTGACTCCCGGCAAGGCAACCGGCCTTACATTCCAACCTTTTTGATGATATAGGACGCCGCTTCTCTCTGACTACTTCCTGTTGAACGGGGTGGAGTGGGGGATCAGTTGGTTGGTGTCTCGGTTGTGAGTCGGATGGAGGGGTGAAGCAACATTTGATTTACAGCTATCCTGGAAATTTTCTTTATGTGAGTTTGTAAAAACCTGAGAAAGAAAGGGGCTAACATTAAGTAAAAGACAAATAATGATAAGAGGGATGATTTTTTTGAATTAAGAGGAAGGTTACTGTGTCTGCAATTTCCCTGGAGGTGGGAAAGGCTTTAATCCATCTAGAAAAAGTATTTATAAAGGTTAGGAGGTAGTGAAGTTTTTTGTGGGTGGGCATATGAGTAAAATTAATTTGCCAGTCTTGGGCCAGCAAGTTGCCACGCATTTGGTGAGTAGGAAACTGTGGCTTAGGCTTTTTCTTTCTTTTCTTTTTTTTTAATGAGTCCTTGAGAGTGTACTTTAAACAGGGGGATGTCTGTTAAGTGGGGGCTAGGCTGCCCTGTAGGCGATTGTGACAGGTTGAACCTGGTCTGGAGGGGAACTGTGGCAAAGGGGTTGTTGAGGGAGGCACATAAAAAGCAGTTGGTGAAATTTGTGTATTTGGCTAAATTTAACATGTTGATACCTTGTCAGTTTAGGTGAAGGCAAAGAGAAAGTAAGACTCTGGGTGAAAAGGAATAGTAAAGAAGGCATCTTTGAGGTCCAGAACTGTAAAATGAGAGGTAGTGGAAGGAATATTGGATAGCAGGGTGTAAGGGTTAGGGACTACTGGGTGGAGAGGTACTACCACCTCATTGATTAGATGGAGGTCTTGAATTAGATGGTGGTTTCTGGATGGCTGTAAGATAGGAGTATTACAAGGTGAACTGGTGGGGATAAGGAGTCCCTGGGCCAAAAGTCGAGTGATGATTGGTTTTAGGCCTTGATGGTGGTTTTTGAGATGGGAAACTGAGGATGGGAGGGAAAGTGGGTAGGGTTTTTGAGAAATATTTTAACTGGTGTGTGATATGTGGCCACTACAGGCTTGGAGAGATCCTATACTGAGGGGCTATCTCAGGGGAGATAGGGGGTTGAGGGGAAGGGTTATGACTAGGTACATTGCCAGTTAGGGTTAGTATTAGAAGATGGGTGGGGGATGAGGTTGGCTGTGAGGGGCTAGTGAGTTGGAGGGTGGCCCCTAGAGTTTGGAGGATGTCCCGCCCTAGTAGGGGAACTGGGCACGAAGGCATAATTAAGAAGGAGTGAGAGAATGGGTGTCCCTCAAGGTTACAGGCTAAGGGAGGAGTCTGGTTGGGGCAGGAGGGCTTTTCATCAATTTTCATAACTGACACCTGGGAAGGTGTGCTAGGTCTTGAGTAGGAAGGCAATACAGAATAGGTAGACCCCATGTCCACTAAAAAGGAAATGGATTTACCCGCTCCCTGTAGCGTTATTCTGGGCTCGGCAAGGGTGATAGGGGTCTCTGAGTCCAGGCCACATCAGTCATCCAGGAGGCCGAGGAGTTCAAATGAAGGGACTGTATCCTTCGGACCGGCCTGCCCCTCACATGGAGGTGTGGGGGGTGAGCCTGTAGTCCGGGATGGGCAGTCTACCTTCCAGTGTCCGGTCCGTTTCCAGGTAGGACAGGGTCCAAGGGCCGGACATGGACAGGGGCACTGTCGGGCCCAGTGTCCTTCCTGGCCGCATTTGAAACAGGGCCTGGGCAGGACCTTTGAAGCAGTCTGGGCGGGTCCAGAGGGTTCTGAGGGACCCTTTTGGAGGGGCTTTGATAGGCCCCTTACACCAGACGCTTGGTGAGTTGCCGGCCTCAGAGCCACTACAAGAGCTTGGGTTTGGAGGCTTACCTGTTGCTGCAGCTCAGCTTGGCGGGCAGCCTCAGCCTTTTCCTCTCGGCCATTAAAAACTTTAAATGCCATGTTTACCAGGTCTTGTATGGGAGTTTGGGGGCCTTCCTCTGCCTTCTTTAGTTTTTTTCTAATATGTGGTGCTGACTGGGAAATAAAATGGGCCGCTAGGAGGGTAGCCCCAGCTAAAGAGTCTGGATCGACTAGGGTATGAAGGACCATAGCGTTAGTTAGCCGGTCTAGGAAGGCAGCTGGATTTTCAGTAGGACCCTGAGTTATTTCCTGCAGTTTATCATAATGAACTACTTTTTGGGCTGCGTCCTGCATGCCCGCTAGGAGGCACTGTAGCATTTGGTCTCGGTGGCGGTGGCCATTTTGGCCAGTTTGATAGTCCCAGTTTGGATCGGCCTCAGGGACTGCCACTGCGCCTACTGGCATCTGATCATTAGTGAGATGTACTTGATCAGCGTGTGCCTTGGCTGCCATGAGGATGCAGTTACGCTTGTCAGGAGTAAGGATAGAGGACAGGATTACATAAGTGTCATGCCAGGTTAAGTCGTATGCCTGAGTGAGATAACGAAATTCCTTAATGTAAGCAGTAGGGTTGGCAGAGAATGACCCTAAGCTCTTCTCAATGGTGGACAGATCAGTAAGGGAGAAGAAACGTGTACTCGGACAACACCCTCTGCTCTGGCCACCTCACAGAGAGGACAAAGGAGGGAGTTTTTGTCACTGGGAGTGCTGTGTGAGCGAGTGTGAGCACTAACAGGAGAGTCCACATCTGAACTTGGAAGAGGAGGAGGAGCAGGAGGTTGGGGGTCCGCATATGGCGGGGGGTTAGTGGATGGAGTGGAGGGTAAGGAGAGTTTTTCAAGCAGATTGAGGTCAGAAAAAGAAGAGGAGGAGGTCGGCGAAGGGGCTGAGGGCAGTGGGGGGACGTTTTTTGCCAGGAGTACTTGGGCAGTACTGCAGGATGAGCAGAGGCTGGGGTGGGAGTGGAGGTGCCAGAAAGCCTGAATATAGGGAACCTCTGCCCACTTGCCATTTCTTTGGCAGAAGTTGTCTAAATCTGTTAGAATGTTAAAGTTGAGGGTGCCCCCAGGAGGCCACTTGGACTGGTTGTCTAGAGGATACTGTGGCCAGGCCACAGAGGAGAGGAAGAGTAACCTTTTCTTTTTTATAGAAAGACTCAGTTTAGGTAGATTTTGGACCAGGCATCCTAGTGGTGACTTGGGGTCTGGGCGGGAGTTCTGATTACCCATATTTTATCTTCTTCTGTTGCTTAAGAGCAAGAAGTGGACACGAAAAGCAATTATACCCAACACGGGTAGAAAAGCTCCTTTCCTGGAGGGGGAGGCTGAGAGAACTTACAGGCTGCAATGATAACAATGAGGAAGAAAATAAACAGGGACAGGGCTAGAGCTATTTGCCACATGGTAGAGTTAGAGGAAGTGAAACTAGTGGAAGTGGGAAGTGGGGTTTCAGTGGTAGAAGAATAGAAAGAAAAAGGAGAACAGATTTATTTGTAGAGGCAGGAACTCAATGAAGTTCCCCTGAAGCTAGTGGTCTGTTACCCACTGCAGAATATCCAGTACCTCCAGGGAGGCAGGCCTGAACCAGTGTATATCAGCAAGTAAGAGCCTAACAAAGCTGGTGAATCTACAATAAAGACAAGGCCACGTATAGAATTGATGAACAAAGGTGGGTGCCCCCACCCCACCCCCAGATGGGAGACCAGTCTGATGGTCACTTCAGAACTGTTGGTCCTGAGGTGAATCACCGTTATGCCTTATGACGTCCCCGTGGAACCACGGGTGGAGGCCTACACAAGCCCCGTAGCCGTTAAGCTGTGGGACTACACATAGACTCACCGACTCACACACTTGCTCAGGAAGGGGGGGGGGGAGAGAGAGAGAGAGAGAGAGAGAGACTAAAAGTGCCAGAGAAAGAGAGAGAGAGAGAGACTAAAAGTGCCAGAGAGAGAGAGAGAGAGAGAGAGAGAAACTAAAAGTCCCTAAGTGGGAGTTGACCTGCCAAAGGGTAAGTTTGAGATTGAGATCCAGAGGTCTGTTTCAGTCCTGGGCAGAGCCCGGACTTGTGAACAGGGCTTCTTATCACCCAAACCTTAGTCGCTGCTGCGGAGATGATCGGAAGGGCGGCTCAGCATCCTGGGCTGTCCCCACCGAACACCGGAGATTACGAGAGGGTTCAGGAAGGTGGGGACATCTCCCTCAGATTCCTGGCCCTGAGAGACCCCTTATGGGGAGAAGACAAGGGTGTAGGGATGTCTCCACTATGCTCAGGTCCTCGGAACGAGGCCGGGGCCCTGTGCCCACAGTGAGTAATGAGAAGGAGTGCCCGACGTGGCCACAATTACGAGCAGGGAGTCCAGAGAGCAGGCAGCAGGAAAAGTTATGGGCAACAGAAGTCTTACCTCATGGCAGAGCAGCTCCTGGTCTAGCCTCCAGTGGAAGAGTTGGTTTCCCTCCCCAGGAGGGGGGTCTCACAACTCTTCTCAGGTTTCAGCACCAAATGTAAGATTTATTTCCGAGGTAAAATGAGGAAACTGAGGCTGGTATAAAAAAGTGAGAAGCCAATTTATTCAGCTCCCAGGCAAGCTTCAGTGGCCCAAGTGGGGGCCAGAGAAGTCGCACCCGACTGTTCAGGGCCAGCGGTTTTATGGGGAGTGCAGGCAATTGATTGGTTACTGGAGAAACAAAGAGAAGGCATTTCTACTGGCTGTTGAGGAGTAGGAAGTACATGGAGTTAAAGTAGGAAGTACATGAAACTAGCTGCCATTGGTAGGTGGGAGGGACTTTGGGTAAGTGGGCCTTGATTGACTACTGGGGAAACAAAGAGAAAGCATTTCTATTGGCTGTTGAGGAGCAGGAAGTACATGGAGTTGAAGTAGGAAGTACATGAAACTAGCTGCCATTAGTAGGCAGGCAGGACCTTGGGTACGTGGGCCTGCCAGGGGCGTATGGGGCTGGCAGTTGTTGGGCAGGGAATGGTGGGGCTTCTTTAAAAAAAATTTCTCTGCAGGCTCTTTTAACAGCGGGCTGGAGGTTGGATGCATAATTTAGTGCTGAGTGTGTGCTTGGGCATGGTATGCAGAGGCAGGTGTGGGGAAGCTTTGTGGGGAAGCCAGATAATGAGCTCGGGTGATGACACAGTTATCAGGCGTGGAGAGTGATGAATGTGTCCGTTTGACTCCCGGCAAGGCAACTGGCCTTACAATGAACAATTCCCCATTGATGTGCAAAGCTGAAACAGAGGGGGAAGCCATTGCTGGCTTAGGAGCTGAGCATGTCAGTCTTGTTCCTCAGTGCTGAATTTGTAATCTGACCTCCTGGACTCTGTGTGTTCCTCCCTGCTTTTTGTTTTTGCTCTCTGTAGATTCGACCCTTAGCCTTCCTTGACTGTCAGAATCACCCTGTTCTTTTCTGAACCTGTTATGTGCCCTCCAGATCAACTTCATTCTATGTCTGTCCTCACTGATTTAAGACAGGAGCACATATGTCCAGCCAGAGGGATGTAGTCTGGGGAGGACCAAAGTGCTTTCCAACTATTCATCCTCAAAGGTAGCAAGGAAATTTGTACCCAGGTGTATTAGTTTCTTATTGCTGCTGTAACAAGTCACCACAAACTTAATGGATTAAAACAACACAAATTTATTTTCTTACAGTTCTGGAGGTCAGAAGTCCAAAATGAGTTTATGAGGATAAAATCAAGGTGTCAATTATGGCAGATGGGAGGCAGGACTATATTGCAGCTCCAACTCATACAGACAGAACAGGGTGTGGAGCTCATACTGTGAATTTTAGCTCCAGAATGACTGCAGTAATAAATTAGGAATCCCAAGAGGACCACAGACCCTCTGAAGGAGGAAGACTGCTCCTGCAGGACCCAGGAGACACCCCAAATACTGTGCATGCCCAAACCGTGGAATTGGAAAAGAGAGTTCCTCCACTCTCGAACACATACCCCTCACTGGGGAAACTGAAGGTCTAGTTTGCCAGAGAAGATTTTGATTTTATCTGCAGCTGAGTCAATTTAGAGAACTGAGTGAAATAGGGGGGTAGAGGAAGCAGCGGGAAAGGCTCTGGGAGATTACTGGGTTCCCAAGCAGGCGGTTCCTGCCTGGCAGTCAGGGATCCTTCAGGAGAGCAGCCAGAGGCATGGGAAAAATGCCACGGAGAGAAGAAAGTCTCCAGCTGAACTTTGTAACAATTTGAACCTGTGGAGAAGACTTCTGGCCAGAACTGTGGGGAGGGTGTGAATCTGGCGTGCAGACTCCACAGGCGAGGGAAGAACTAAAGCCCTTTTCTTTTGCAGCTGGGAGGTGGGTAGCCTGGGGTAAGTTCTCAGCTCTGCTTACCCACAGCCATGAAACAGACTTGATACATGGGGGTGCATGGTGGAAGTGAGACTCTAAAGGCAAGGGAAGAACGAAAGCCCCTTTCTTTTGCAGCTGGGAGGCAGGTAGCCTTGGGCAAGTTCTCAGCCCTGTTTGCCCACAGCCTGGAAACAAACTTGGTGCTGTTAGGAAGTGCATGATGGGAGTGAGACCAGCCCTTCAGATTGCATGGGAGCTGGATGAGGCCTGTGACTGCTTGGTTTTCCTCACTTCCCTGACAACCCCTATGACTCAGCAGAGGCAGCCATAATCCTCCTAGGTTCAAAACTCCATTGACCTGGGAACCTTACTCCCATCTCCCATATCAGCCGCAGCAAGAACTGCAAGGAGAATCTGAGCTCAGACATGCGTGGCCCTGCCCGCACCTGATGGTCCTTTCCTACCCATCCTGGTAGCTGAAGACAAAAGACATATACTCTTGGAGGTTCTAGGGCCATGCTCGCGCCATACTACCACAGCTGATGCTCTCTGGAAAGTACCCCTCCTGACAGGAGGCCAACCAGCACAAAAACAGAGCATTAAACCACCAAAGCTAAGGACCCTCATGGAGTCCATTGCACCCTCTGCCACTTCCATCAGAACAGGTGCTGATATCCACGGTTAAAAGACCCATAGACAGTTCACGTCACAGGACTCTGTGCAGACAACCCCCAGTACCAGCCCAGAGCCTGGTAGACTTGCTGGGTGGCTAGACCCAGAAGAGAAATAACAGTCACTACAGCTCAGCTCTCAGGAAGCCACATCCATAGGAAAAGAGGGAGAGTACTACATCGAGGGAACACCCTGTGGGACAAAAGAATCTGAACAACAGCCTTCAGCCCTAAACCTTCCCTCTGACAGAGGCTACCCAAATAAGAAGGAACCAGAAAACCAACTCTGGTAATATGACAAAACAAGGCTCTTAAACACTCCCCCCAACCCCCAAAATCACACTAGCTCATGAGCCATGGATCCAAACCAAGAAGAAATCCCTGATTTACCTGAAAAAAAAATTCAGGAGGTTAGTTATTAAGCTAATCAGGGAGGCACCAGAGAAAGGTGAAGTCTCTAATACAAGGAAATCTAAAAAAATGATACAGGAAATGAAGGGATAAATACTCAAGGAAATAGATAGCATAAAGAAAAATCAATGAAAAATTCAGGAAACTACAGACACACTTTTAGAAATGTGAAATGCTCTGGAAAGCCACAGCAATAGAATTGAAAAAGTAGAAGAAAGAAATTCAGAGCTCGAAGACAAGGTCTTTGAATTAACCCAATCCAATAAACACTAAGAAAAAAGAATAAGAAAATATCAACAAAGCCTCCAAGAAGTTTGGGATTATATTAAATGATCAGACTTAAGAATAATAGGTTCTCCTGAGGAAGAACAGAAATCTGAAAGTTTAAAAAACATATTTGGGGGAATAATTGAGGAAAACTTTGCTGGCCTTGCTAGAGACCTAGACATCCACATACAAGAAGCACAAAGAACACCTGGGAAATTCATCACAAAAAGATCATCTCCTAGGCACATTGTCCTCCATTTTCTTGGAAAGAATCTTAAGAGCTATGAGACAAAAGCACCAGGTAACCTATAAAGGAAAACCTATCAGAGTAACAGCAGATTTCTCAGCAGAAACCGTACAAGCTAGAAGAGATTAGGGCCCTGTCTTCAGGCTCCCCAAACAAATTATCAGCCAAGAATTTTGTATCCAGCGAAACTAAGCATCGTATATGAAGGAACGATACAGTCTTTTTCAGACAAACACATACTGAGAGAATTCACCACTACCAAGACACCACTACAAGAACTGCGAAAAGGAGCTCTAAATATTGAAACCAATCCTTGAAACACATCAAAACAAAACCTCTTTAAAGCATAAATCTCAGAGGACCTATAAAACAAAAATACAATTTAAAAAGCAAAAACAAAAACCAAGGTACACAGGCAACAAATAGTGTGATGAGGGGAATGGTACCTTGCATCTCTTTACTAACATTGAATGTAAATGGCCTAGATGCTCCACTTAAAAGATACACAACTGCAGAATGGATAAAGATTCACCAGCCAACTATCTGCTGCCTTCAGAAGACTCATCTAACACAAAAGGACTCACATAAACTTAAAGTAAAGGGGTGGAAAGAGACATTTCATGTAAATGGACACCAAAGGCGAGCAGGGGTAGCTATTCTTACATCGACAAAACAAACTTTAAAGCAACAGCAGTTAAAAAGGACAAAGAGGGACAGTATATGGTAAAAGACCTTGTACAACAGGAAAATACCACAATCCTAAATGTATATGCACCTAATACTGGAACTCCCAAATCTAAAACAATTACTAATAGACCTAAGAAATGAGATAGACAGCAAAACAATAATAGTGGGGGACTTCAATACTCTACTAATAGCACTAGACAGGTCATCAAGACAGAAAGTCAAAAAAGAAACAATGAATTTAAACTATACCTTAGAACAAATGGACTTAACAGATATATACAGAACATTCCAGACAACAATGGCAGAATACACATTATAATCAATAGTGCATGGAACTCTCTCCAATATAGACCCTGTGATAAGCCTCAGTAAATTTAAGAAAATTGAAATTATATCAAGCACTCTCTCAGATCACAGTGGAATAAAACTGGAAATCAGCTCCAAAAGGAACCTGGATAAATACATGGAAATGATATAATCTGTTCCTGAATGAGCATTGGGTCAAAAACAAAATCAAGATGGAAATTAAAAAATTCTTCAAACTGAATGACAATAGTGACACAACTTATCAAAACCCCTGAGATACAGCAAAGCTGGTGCTAAGAGGAAAGTTCATAGCCCTAAATGTCTATATCAAAAAGACTGAGTCTGGGCACGGTGACTCATGCCTGAAATCCAGGCTGCCCTGCTGATGAACTGCCCCATGTAGTAGTGAGGTTTCTCCCAGCTGAGGGCTGAAGGTGAAGACCTTGCTTAGCAAAAGATATGTTGATTAAATAAATATGTTCCTCACATAGTGGTTCCACCACTGGGCACTCAGGGTTTCTGTATCCAGGTCCCTCTAGGGTAGGGCTGTCCAAACTTCTGCCAGGGAAGAAACCAACAAAAGTTGTGTTTGTGCTGCTATTTAAGAGAGCACGAGGCCGGCCATGGTGGCTTATGCCTGTAATCCAGCACTTTGGGAGGCCAAGGAGGGCAGATCACTTGAGATCAGGAGTTTGAGACTAGCCCGGCGAAACCCTGACTCTACTAAAAATACAAAAATTAGCCAGGTATTGTGGTTCATGCCTGTAATCCCAGCTACTCAGGAGGCTGAGGCAGGAGAATGCTTGAACCCGGGAGGCTGAGATTGCAATGAGTCAAGATCATGCCACTGCACTCCAGCTTGGGTGACAGAGCAAGACTCCATCTCAAAAAAAAAAAGGGCATCAAACACCTATTATGTACCCATAAGAATTAAAATTATAAAAAGAAGGCATCAGCAGCCCCAGGAGGTGATGTGTTCTGGTTGGCGCACCTCAAGAGATGCTGTGTTTGTCTCACAGCACCATGTAAGATAAAGTAGCAAATGTTAGAAGCCACGTGTGCTCATTGCTGCTTGCCAGCAAAATTTCACAAAGCCCCTGACTGTGACAATGTGCAGCTCTCTGGAGGCATGCTTTGAAGACAAAACAGCATAGAGACAAAACTTAGAATAGCCACAGTAAAATCTGATGAAAATTTTCAATTGACAATGACATGTAGCATTTTAAGTTAACAACAAGAACCACAGCTGACAGCATCCTATCGGGACCCACGCCTCTTGCCTGAGTCACTCTATTTCTCACAAGATGAATGACCCTAACCCTTGCCTTTTTCTGCACATAAGGTAACATCTGATGGGATTAATGATTATGCTTCTGTAAACCATAACCAGATAAAGCCTTCCATCCAGGCTTTGATGTGGTTGTACACGTGCTGAATCTTCACACCTGCATATAAATTGTGAACTAAAACACAGCTTTGGAGGCAGAACCTCTCTGAAAGACTCCCCCTGGGCTGTCGTCCTTAGTAAGACTTCTGAATAAAACCAATTTGAACTCTTTAAAAGCTGATGTTTATTTCTTTAGAATGCAGTTGGCTACTGGGAGGCACAAAGCACGACCACAGCTGAGTCAGCCAGCGGTGGCTTGGATGAAGACTGCATGCTGTGTTGTGGGTGTCCCTGGACTTGCCTTGTCTTTGAGTGCAAGCAAATCCCGTCCCCTCCACCTGCTTTTCCTGGGGCCAGGTCGCCTCTCAGCACAATCTGCTTTCCCGTGTGGCTCCTGGATCACTTGCAAATAGCTCCACATACGTTCAAGTCAAATGTGTTAAGAGCCCCTACACGCCCATTTCTCTCATTAGGAAAAAAACACAAGAGCACTAGAATGATTCTGGGGTGATTCCTCTGGTTTCCCTGGAATCCTGGAGTCTCAATTATGGTCCCTTGGATTGGATGGCTTTTGGCCTGCCGAAGGGAGGAACAGTATCTTTCCTGCAGTTTAAGATTCGGCTGGGAGGCCAGAAACCAACTGAGGGTTCACTCTTGAAAGTTAGGAGTGCAGTTTACTGCATCAGAGTGAAAATCTTGGGACAATGTTTTTTTTTTTCAAGATTTTTTCTTAAATTAAGTTCTGGGGTACATGTGCAGATTGTTGCAGCCACAAAAAAGGATGAGTTCGTGTTCTTTGCAGGCACATGGATGGAACTGGAAACCATCATTCTCAGCAAACTGAAACAAGAACAGAAAACCAAACACTGCATGTTCTCACTCATAAGTGGATGTTGAACAATGAGAACACATGGGGCAATATCTTGGCTCCAGCGGTGTTAGCTGCACCCTTAAAGCAAGACATTTCCTCTTGAAACTCAAATCTCCTCACTTAAGAAAGGAGTGAGTTGAATTGTATGCCCTTATAAGGTCTTTCCTGGTCTGGGGTGTGTGTGTGTGTGTGTGTGTGTGTGTACACATGCGCACCCATCTCTTCAGCCAAAGGAGACATAACTGTTAAATTGGAAGGATATGTTTCAAAGCCATCATTTTTCCTGTAGAAATAGAACAACTCACTTTAAGTTTTCTAATTACCTCCTACATGTCACATTCTTTCTTCCTCTTCAAGTCTGGATTGCTTCTCATGACTGAGGACCTGAAGCCATCTTTTGATTTCTTTAATTTGTAAAGCAACTTATTTTAAATGTTAAATGCTGATAGAAAAATCAGCTTAATTACAGAGCCATCTTTTTTCTTATTCTGGCTGAGGAAATGGATCCATTTTGCTAAATGAGATTAATTTTTCAATATATAATGATAGGCATAAATGTCTATATATCTTAGCATATTAAAAGTGTCTTAAGCTTACCACTAATTAAAATGTCTTAAGCTTACCACTAATTAGTCTTGAAAAGAAAAGGCTAAATACAAGTGTAATTCATTTATTACCAGTTGGACGGATGAATAGTCACCGTGCAAGCGGCAGCTTTCATTGGAACAAACGAGATTGTTTTAGAACGAAGGCATCACATCAGTCCAGGACTGTGGTCCTGCTTATTTGCACGCATGAATACACTCCTGGGCTATTAGCCCGAAGGATGCAACTGAGAGGAGGCTGATTGGTACTATGAGCTGCCACTGTTCTAAAAATGCCTTCAATAAATTCCTTCTGTGTTCTAGGATTGGAGTGTTTAGGTGGCTATTACTTCATTCATATCTAAATATACTAACAGGCTATAAAAGATTGGCAGGGAAAGCACCTGAAACCTGTGATTAATTCCATATGTTAATTATTTAATTGGATAACAACATTACACTTTTATTCGCTGGAAAATCACAAATACACACTGATATTTACAAAAGTTTTTTCAGTTAAATTTCAATAAAAGAAGATGGTATCTTGTAGGACATAAAGGAAAAGGGGGATGGATCCTGCTGACAGACTCGACATGGTCCATTCCTAAAGAATCTTCTGATTCGGCTAAAAGCCAGGATAGAATAATAAATAAAAATACAATTATTATTATATTTATAGAAATGTAGACAACCAAAAATTCTTACTTGCTTGGCTTTGAAACGCATTGTGTAATTTTGTAATTTTGTGATTACATAATGCATTTCAAAGCCAAGCAAGTAAGAATTTTTCTAAATCAGAATTAAATAGTTTTGCTTAGGCATATTACAGTACATTTGCATTTTCTTTTTTTTTAACAATCAGAAAATGATTCAGTTCCAATGCAGCATTTTCTTTCCTTTCCTTTTAGGATGGAGTCTTGCTCTATCGCCCAGGCTGGAGTGCGGTGGTATGATCTCAGTTCACTGCAACCTCCGCCTCTGGGGTTCACGTGATTCTCCTGCCTCAGCCTTCCAAGTAGCTGGGACTACAGGCATGTACCACCACACCTGGCTAATTTTTGTATTTTTGTAGAGCTGGGGTTTTGACATGTTGGCCAGGGTAGTCTCGAACTTCTGGCCTCAGGTGATCCTCCTACCTTGGGCTCCCAAAGTGCTGGGATTACAGGTGTGAACCACCGTGCCAGCCTGCATTTTGTGAGGGTACAACGATTGGGTTGAAGGTGGGTCTGCTGGGAGATGATAGAAAGAAATGTTGGTTGAAACTTCAGTTGGAGAAACAAATCAACAAATAATAAAAACAAGCAAACAACTAATTCATTCTCGGTACAAAATTAGGAATTGACCAAATATGGATGGGTCAGTCCCAAACCAGGTACTATTTGTATAGCTGCCGCTTCAAAATGAATCAGGAAGAAATGAGGATGTGTATCTACAGTCACCACAAATGTATAATAATACAAACAGATTCAGAAGTTATATTTATGCAGTGCTAGGGTGCTATTTTGTAACATGCAGGGAAGACTGTCAACACTTGTAAGACCACCATAGGGATGCTGAGAGTCTTGGGGTCACAGAGACTCTGAGGTTAATCTTCCCTGATTATAACCAAGAACAGGGATTCCTTTTTGCCTCACTGTAGACAGAGTACACTGTGAAGAGTTCAGGATCTTTAGTCCAAAGAACAGGGATGAAAAAGTGGGGGTATTTCTCTAATAAATCACAGTGGATGGAGTTTCTAGATAAACTCCCTCCAAATAAACTGTTCAATATTACTTCTCCATTCTTGTCATGTGCACAGTTGAAAAACACATTCACAAATCATGACTTCAACGGGCTCTCCCAATGGTCCTGCAAGGTAGGCAGAGCAAGTATTTTCATCATGGCCATTTCATTAAAGCAAAACTGAGATACAGAGAGAAAACATCGTAAGTTTAGGACATGAGTCTTAGAGTTAGGACCTGAACCCAGGTCTTTAGATTCCAGGTAGAATTTCTTTTGTAAAAGAAGGTGTGCTCTAGAAAGTGGTCCAGTCCTTAGTAAAATGCCCACTCAGATTTTGTTCATTGCTAGTGGCAACCTTCACTTTTTTCTCTATCGTCTTCCTCTCTGACCCCAGAGCCCCTGACATCTTTTGCACTGAGGTGTCAAAAACTGACACCTCAAGATTACCCATCTCCACCAAAATAAAATAAGCTTTCAAGCATCAACGGGAAGGTGATTTTTAGGTTCTTTCCTTTGAAATTACACCATTGTGGATAACCATATCAGGCTGGCTTGACTATAAGGTTTTTTTCTTGAAGCCAAAATCCTAGAGAATGTCCTGGAAAGCAGTAGGAGGAGGGTGGGAAAGTTCAATGTGATGGATTTACAACTCCTCCCATGATGCTGTAAACCCCACACCGACAAACTTATTCTTACATTTCCATTGTGTCTAAGGGCCTTCTTCTATAGCCTTTTTTCTTTATTCCTGAGACAGAGTCTCTCTCTGTTGCCCAGACTGGAGTACAGTGGAGCAATCTTGGCTCACTGCAATCTCTGACCCCCAGGTTCAAGCTATTCTCCTGCCTCAGCCTCCTGAGTAGGTGGGATTACAGGTATGTGCCACCACACCTGGCTAATTTTATATTTTTAGTAGAGACAGGGTTTCACCATGTTGGCCACACTGGGTTGAACTCCTGACCTCAAGTGATCCACCTGCCTCAGCCCCACAAAGTGCTGGGGTTATAGGCATGAGCCATCATGCTCAGACTATAGCCTTTTGAGGTTCCTGCAGTGATAAGATACAGAATTAGGGAAGATAGAGGGTGAGCTACCTATATATCTGGAGATAGCCTGGGGACTCCAATAGCTTCTGCCATTTTGTTCTTTTTTTAAAATATTTTTTGATTGTAATCAAATGAAATGGTTTCGATTATAGCAGGTAGTCAGTAAATGTCAGCTCCCGCAGTCCCTGTCTAACCTCATTGGTGTGGTTCGCACACAGTAGATGTTCAGTCCATGTCAGTTGCTCCTTATGTCTATCTTGCTGGGATTGTGCACACAGCAGGTGTTGAGCAGATATCAGTAAATGCCAGCTGCTGTGGTTCATGTCTAGTCTCATTGCATGTTATGACTTTGCAGCATTCGGCTTCTTGAGGGCACTGGGGAAACATGAGCACAGATGTTGCTTCCCATGCAGCCTGTGAACTTGGTTGATGGTGGGTGATGCTCTGAGTACTGGACTGGGGTTTTCAATTGTGGGACACAAGTGGGTCACTTCAGCCTGATACAGTCCACCTCTTCTGTGGCAGGCACCCCGTTTGTCTTAAGGTCAAGGTCGGCGCTGGACTTGCTCCCCCGCTGGGAGGGACGCCAGTGCAGCAGCATCATCTTCTTGAAATATTTCATGGTGTTGTTCTTGACCGTCACGAAGCACACGGTGTTGATCATGCTGTTGCTCATGGCGATGCACTCGACCACGTAGAAGGCGGTGAGGTAGTGCTTTTCCTTTACGAACACGGTGGGGAAGAAGTCGCGTACGATGGTGAAACCGTAGAAGGGTGCCCAGCACAGCACGTAGGCCGTGAGGATGCACATGAGCACCAGGACCGTCTTCCTGCGGCAGCGCAGCCGCTTACGGATCTGCTCTGTCTGGAACCCAGGGACTGCCTTGAACCAGAGCTCCTGGGAGATCCTGGCATAGCAAAGGGTCATGGTGACCACAGGACCCACGAACTCCACACCAAAGATGAAGAGGAAGTAGGACTTGTAGTAGAGCTGCTGATCCACGGGCCAGATCTGGCCACAGAAGATCTTCTCCTGGCTCTTGACAATAAAGAGGACAGTTTCTGTTGCAAAGTAGGCTGATGGGATGGCAATGAGAATGGATACCACCCAGACCAGGGCGATCAGGAAGGAGGCCGTTTGGTAGTTCATTCGTGGTTTCAAGGGGTGAACGATGGCAAGGTATCTGGGGAGGGAAGCCAACAGTAGTAATAATGGATGCTTGGAAACGTCAAAACGTTAGTTTTTAACTAACCCCAAACATACACTAAAGCAGACATAGTGGGGCAGTGAGTCCTCATGTACCTGTTATCCAGCTTTAACAAGCTTCATCTTATTTTAGCAATGTCATTTGGAGTAGTGGAGTGTTTTCGTGAAAACAGCACAGGCTTTGGGTCAAACAGGCTGAATACATTCTGGTTTTTCCCTGGATTGGCTTTGAGGTCTGGGATGAATTATTCAATCTCTCTTAGCTTTATTTCCTCAAATGCAAGCTGGGATAAGCGGATACCTACTTTGCAGGGCTACAGTGAACATTAAATGCGGTAATTTTTGTAAAATGCTTTGTGTATAGTAGGTATTCAATAAATACTTGTGACCTGTTACTGTTCTTAAGCATCCTATTATACCACCTTGGGCTTCCATCTTGCCATTCTTCCCAAGAACATATAATACTCGCAAAGCTCTTCATTTCAAATACCTCATGGTTTAGGTGAAGGAAGGGCTTGTGCCCCACAGAAAGAGGTGGGGGGCTTTCTCAGGGCAATGGGCAAGAACTTGCTTCCCCCGCCATGAGCTGTCATCCTGCATTTCAGAGGCAGGAGAGTCAAGGTGGGCTTGTGGTGGAATCTAAGGACTCTAATAAAAAGTAAACACCGTGCCCAAGCTCACATCATGCAGGGACCAGAATCCAGGCTCTTGATACAAAGCTTACGCTCCTACCTCCCTGGGCCATCTTGTGCTCAAGTGAGAAGGTGTGTGAAGTCACCTTGACACCATAAGTCTTGCTCTTTCCAATGAGCCACACTGTCTGGGAGAGAAACTGGAGCCCTTTGTGGGAAGTGAGCTCATTTGTGTGGGCTGAATACTTTCTTTCCAGAGACACCTAATGACACCTATTTAGATACTTGGTGCCCTGGCATCATTTCTGTGCATCTTATGGTTGAGGTAAGAGAAGAATGCTTTGGGATGAGGTAGATGAAGACGGGAGGCATGAAGGACAGGGAGGAAACAAATCAACCCTAGAAATGAACGTGTGCTTCATACCTGGAGAACAAGAGTGAGGTGAGAACAAGAGCCGGATGCTGCCTGTAGGAAATTCTATCCCACTTGCCTTTCCTTTGTGAACAGATCCTTTAGCCACCCTTTCCAAGTCTGACTGGACTAAGAAGTCCTTCTGTCATGTTATTTCTTCCTGTCCCTGCCAATATTTCTGCCACAAAGTTGTTTTATCTTCTCTTGTGTACCTGCTGCCTGCTAGTGGCTCTGATCCATTGAATTCCATTAGAGGAGATACCAAAGCAGCATGACTCTCCCCCACTTTTGACTTTCTGAAGATCTGGGATGAAGGTGGATCCTCCCCCAACCACTGGCTACACCCTAGCTAGATATATCAATATGCACAGTGGTTGCTGAGGTTCTTCACCCATGCAGGTGACCTGGCCTTGCCAAATTAACCTGCGTGACCCGCCTGCGTGGTACAAGGCTCACAGGGCTGCAGAATGGAACAAATGGGCAGGCCCATTCTTGATGGGGGCAGGGACATCTCACAATCCCTGTCTTTCGTGAGGACTCAGTGAATTCGTCTCCTATTGCTGCTGTAACAAATTACCAAAAATGTAGTGGCTTGAAACATCCCAAACGTATTGTCTTATAGTTTTGGAGGTCAAAAATTTGACATGGTTTTCACCATGCTAAAATCAAGATGTTGGCAAGGCAGCATTTTCTTCTGGAGGTGCTGATGGGGAGAATCTGTTTTTGTTGCCTTTACTAGGGATTCCAGCATTCCAGGGCTGGTAACTTCTTCCTTGTTCAAAGCCAGCAAGGGCCAATCAAGTTTCTCTCATTGTATGACTGACACAAACTCTTCTGCCTCCCTCTTCTACAGTTAAAGATCTTTCTGATTTCATTGTGCCCACCCAGATAATCCAGTATAATTTCTGTATTTTAAGATCAGCTCATTAGCAACCTTAATTCCATCTGCTACCTTAATTCCCCTTTGGCATGTAATGTAACATGTTGACAGATTCTGGGGATTAGGATGTGGTTATCCTTGGGTGAGGGACATTATTCTGCCTCCCATACTGAGTCCAAAGTCTTTGGATAATGCAGAAGTCATTCAGAACTTAAAAGGTCTCCCTCAATCTGGTTTTATCATGAAAAGTATTTCAGTAACCCATGCCAAAGGGAATTTCCACACTCCTCCTTATTCTGTTTTCAGTTCCTAGTTCTCATTCTTTTTCCTCCACTAACATCTTCCTCATTGTAGGATGTTCCAAAATTCGGAGTTGTCCTCAAATAAATCAGAAAGCAATAACATTGGCCTAGGAGTTATTCAGAAGACCTGGATTCCAGCTGTGTACCTGGACTCAAACTGTGCACTTGGATAAATCACATATGCTTGGGGGACTTAGTTTCTTCGTCTGCGAAGTGGGGATAATTAACATCACTGACAATCTCTAAGGCTTTTTGTCATGTTCTGAGAAGGTAAACATACATAAGGGGTGTTGAAAGCTATTGCACATTGTTTAAGCTAATCATTTCCTGTGACTCATTCATTGGCAAGAGGGATCTCTGCAAGGTCTTTGTTTTCATCTGTCTGCTTGGATGTGATTCTTGAGGCCAATCCTTTCCTTCTAGTATTTCTATGACTTGAAGTAGCACCTCCTCTGGGGCCCTCTCTAGATGGAGCTGCCTCTGGCATATGGAAACAGCATTAGATGGCCCTTCTGATATTTCTGTGTAGTAGGACAGAGAGGCCTGTGCTTCTCCCACCCTACTTATGTCAGGGTACACAGGCCTATGTTATACTGGGATTGACTGTGCCCAGTGATAAAAGCCCCCTTCTCCAAAATCAGCATCATCCAGGCACAGGTGAGAGTTTGGCCATCCATCTTTCTTACCATTTTACTTTATTTTTTTCAATTAGTTTAGAAGCTGATTGGAGAAGAGGATCCTTACCCTTTCTCCCTGTCCTACCACCTGCCACCTATACAGCATTTCCAGAGCAGCCCTCATCAATGACTTATTGGGAGCTGGGGTATTTATACTGCCCACGTCTGGAAGAACTCTCTGTAGAGCTGTGGTCTACTCTGGCTCCAAGGGTCCCTCAGCAGGATATGCTCTAATTGCCCACAGTAAAAGCTCGTTTAAGTACTTCTTGGTTGTTACCTGCACATAAATCTTTGTCTCAGATTCTGATTTGGGTGTAACTCAAGCTAAGACACAGGTATAAGTCCATGTACTAGGTACTGTGGAGAAAGATAGAACACATAGTTATTGTGCTTAAAACCAATTGTCTTTTGGAAAATACTATAGTATCTCCATACATAGCATGAATTTAGAAAGACAGCAAATTAAATATTGCTATCAGATTACAAGGGCCCTGGAATGCTAGGCTCAGGATTTAATATGTATTCCTTAAGCACTTGAATTTCTAGACATTTTGTAAGCAATGAAATGTTTCAGGAAGATCCATCAGTGGTGACATTCCTCTGTTAATATGAATAAGTATAGACTTCAGGGAACAGTCAGGAGCCCCTGAGGAGTGAAAACACAGGTCAGTAGAGCATTATGATGGTCCAGCTATGACTTTCTAAGAGATGAAGCTGGAGGGCGAGCTGCCAGGACTTGCTGCATGGCTAAACACACAGGGTGGGATGAGTGGAGGTAGGATAGGGAAAAAGGGTAAGGATGATGGTAACTTTTCCCTGCTTGGATGGCTGAGAGGATGGAGGAGCTGCTGACGGAGCTGCAGGCTGACTAGGGCAGAGTTGGTTTGCGGTGGAAAAGGACCCATTCTGTTGTCTATGTTGTCGTAACAAGGCGATTGCTTCCAAGAAACTCCAATGTTACAAAAAATGAAACCAGCATTATAAAGACAAAGGTTTCAGTGGAACAAGGGAGTTGGGAACAGTACTCACTCTCTGTGGTGGTTAATAACTGAGGCCCAACTTGATTGGACTGAAGGACACAAAGTATTGATCCTGGGTGTGTTTGTGAGGGCACTGCCAAAGGAGATTAACATTGGAGTCACTGGGCTGGGAAAGGCAGACCCACCCTTAATCTGGGTGGGCATAATCTAATCAGCTGCCAGCTCAGCTAGAATATAAGCAGGCAGAAAAATGTGAAAAGAGAGCCTGACCTACCCTCCTAGCCTACATCTTTCTCCTATGCTGGATGCTTCCTGGCCTCCAACACTGGACGCCAAGTTCTTCAGTTTTGGAACTTGGACTGGCTCTCCTTGCTCCTCAGTCTGTAGATGGCCTATTGTGGGATCTTGTGATTATGTGAGTTAATACTTTAAACTCCCATATATATATATTCCATCAGTTCAAAGGATTCCCATTCAAGAGGCTGGGGTGGAGCCCAGAAATCTGACTTTGTATCTTTCTGTCTTTTTTTTTCGAGATGGAGTTTTGTTCTTGTTACCCAGGCTGGAGTGCGATGACACAGCCTTGGCTCACTGCAATGTTTGCCTCCTGGGTTCAATCGATTCTCCTGCCTCAGCCTCCCAAGTAGCTGGGATTACAGGCACGCACCACCATGGCTAGCTAATTTTTGTATTTTTAGTAGAGATGGGGTCTCACCATGTTGGCCAGGCTGGTCTCAAACTCCTGACCTCAGGTGATCTGCCTGTCTTGGCCTCCCACAGTGCTGGGATTACAGGTGTGAGCCACCATGCCCAACCTGACTTTGTAATTGTCTATCAAATGATATTTGCACCATTTTCCCTGGATAATTTTGTGCAGTTGTTTGATAGGTACACATTTAATAAAGGCTGGTTTCCGGGCTGGAGTCTCAGAGTTGTTAAAAAATTAATCTTCCTGCAGGAATTATGTTATGCAAAGGAAGGAGGATGCCTCCTACACTTGTCTGTGTATTTTATTACCAAAATGAAAACTATTAAAGTGGTTGATTAAAGAGAACAAACCTGAACAGCACTGAGAACAAGCAAGGGAAAAACTGAAGAGTTGGAAAGATGAAAGGAAAAAAGATGACTAAGCGGTCATCCAAATGAGCACAGCTTAGAGTGGTGGACAGCAACCAAGAGAAGGTGATAACTGTCTCCTTGAACAGAGCCAGCGATGGCCCAACGCTGGCCTGCAACTGTTCACATAGACAAAACATGTGTAAGGTTTGTCATAAACCGCTACTGTGCATTTTACTTCATAAATTTAAAATAAAGCAAGGGCTGGTGAGGAGGAATAAGTTCCGATGTTCTACAGCACCGCAGGGTGAATATAACTAACACAATTCATTATATAATTTCCAGATAGCCAGAAGAGTGGCTTTTGAATGTTTCCAACACAAAGAAATGCTAAACATTTGAGGCGATGGATATGCTAATTAACTTGATTGATCATACACATTGTATACATGCATCAAAATATCACTCTGTACCCCATAAGTATATGCAATTACTACATGTCAATTAAAAAGAATAAATGCCAAAAGTAAAACAAAATAATAAATACATAAAGGAAGGGAAAAAATAAAGTAGAGCAAGGACTTCTGCAATGTCTTATGCAAATGTATGCAAATGAGCACACCAATATATACAGAAAAGCAAAAGCAAGCATGTCCTTTCCTGTTTTGCATAAATGAACCCTGTTATCTCATTTTAAAAGCAGCTCTGCAACAAAGTCTACCAGAAACGAGCACATACGGTATGATTTCTTTTTTAATAACAGGTGAAGCTGAACTGTAATGATAGAAGTCAGATTAGTGGTTCCTGGTGGGAGGATTGACTGCTGAGGAGCACAGAAGATTCTCTAGGGGATGTAACTGCTACGTCTCCATCTGGATGGTGGCTATAGGAAAAGCTTGATACATGTTTTCCTGACTGGAAGCTGCCCTTGTTAACACTCATGTGGCTTCTAGGTAGCTGCCTGCCCTGTCTGCTTTCCCTTTGTGTTGATGCCACGTACTGTCATGTGGCATGCCTGTATCAAAGCAAATGTGGTATCCGGGGGCATAGCTCAGCGATGGGCCTCTCGGCAGTCTCAGTCTTGCTCACATCTGGGGGAACAGAACACACCTGGAGAAATAAGACCTCCTTTTGCCCTCCATAGATTGGCGAGCATTTCTACCTGGAGCAATGCCAGCCTGTCAGAGCCCAAGTGAGGAAAGAGACAGCCTGGTTCAGCCCCATCACTCACCCCACCCACCATCCTCACCTGTCAATGGCGATGGCCAGCAAGGCATTGGTGGAGACGTAGAGGGAGACGGTGCGCAGGTAGTTGACGGAGGCACAGAGCACGTGGCCATGCTCCCAGGAGAGCTGCCGGACCACATAGTAGTCCATCTCGAAGGGGCAGCAGATGATGGCCACCAGGAAGTCGGAGATGGCCAGGTTGGCAATGAGCAGATTTGTGAGGTTGCGCAGCTTCTTATAGCGGGTGAGGGCAGCAATAAAGACAAAGTTACCGACACCACAGACCAGCATGATGCCTGCCAGGGCAATGCCGATGACGATCTTGGCTGCGAAGAAGGTCCGGGTCTTGGTCATGTCCTCGTCCTCATCCATAGGGAGGTCGTAATCACCATAACTGAAGTTAAAGGAGAGGGAGGAGGCATGGTCTTGGGGTGGATTAAAGTTGGGTGCAAAACTGGTGTTTCCATTCTGGGCTGCCATGGTGATGCCTGAAAGAAAAGAGGTGTGAGGGAGGTGCGAGGGGTAGGGGTGCAGCCTCCTGCTCTCTCAGGGTCGGTGAGCCTAGCACCCTGCCCACAGCCTTGGGGAGACTTGACTCGCCATCCTGGATACTGGGAGGCACAACCAGTGGACAGCATGCAGGAGAATATCTGGTCACATTCCCCGAGTTCCCCAGGTATAGGCCAACCAGATCCACTGCCTACCCAGATGGAACTACCCAGGATGCTGGGAGAGGAGACCCGAGATCTGTAAGCTGGGAAGCCCTCCATGGCTGCCCAGCTGTTGGGAAAGATGGCATAGGATGGATCAGACTCTCTAAAACTCTCAAGAAGAATGTGCACCTTTGCCCTTTGCCCAGGGGCCAGGGCCTCTTTGCCCAGTCACATCCTCCAGCTCGCCATGCATCAGCTCCCACAGGGGCTTCTGGAACTCTTCCAAGGCTGCTCCCAGGCACTGGCCTGGCACCTACAGCAGTTGCAATGTTGTGGCACCTGTTGGCCACGGACAATGAAGCAGGACTGCCAGGACACTGCAGGGTCTTCTCTCCAAAAGCAGGACATCACTCCCTCTGTACTGACCAAGCCACAGACTTGGAAATCATCAAGTCCATTTTCAAATGGACAGACTGAGTCACCTTGGGCCAGCGATTTATGCTCTCCGAGTCCTAATCTTCCTGTAAACCGAATTCCTGCTGCCCAGTCTAGTGGCTGGTGCATAGTGGGGGCTGGACAGGGATCTGTTGAGTGCATGACCAGGATGCTGTAGGTGGGGGAGGCTGCATTGGGGTGGGGGAGAGGAATTCCCCTCTTGCTCCCCTGTTCTTAGGGAATCAGATCCAGAAAGAAATCCTCTGCCTGCCTTCCCCCACTGCTCTCACTTCATTGGATCTGCTCTCGGACCTCCTTCACTGGGCTCTAGTTCTCCATCCAGAGTCAACTCTGCCTGAAAGACACCAATTCTGTCACCAAGGTCTCAAAATGGGGAAAATAGTCTCTGAAGCCCTGAGCCTAGAGGAGATAGGGCACCCCAGGGTGCAAGGCTTCACTGAGGGGCTGGAAAAAGAACCCAGACCCCAACACCCACAGAAAGGGGCCCTGGCTGTCCAACTGTGAGTGGCCTTCCCCCCACCTCACAGCACACCTGGAAACGACCTCATATGTGGGCGCCGCGGGGTGTGCTGCGTAGAAAAGGAGGACCCAGCTGGACAACGCATTTGGTCCACTCCTGCGAGGAGAGGAGAACGCCGAAGGACAGGAATTGCGCCCCAGCGAAAGACACCCTACCCTGGGGTGTGCCCTCTAGCTCCTTTCCCAAAGTGAACACCTCCAAGAGGTGAGCTGCAAATCCCAGTGGCATCCACATCCGGAGGTGTCTTCCCTCCAGGTCGCCCCTCCGTCTCATGCGAAACCCCAATCCCCAGCCTCTGCTCAGCCAGGGACCAACAATCGGGAATCCTACCCCTCCTCGGCTTTCCTAACCCAAGATGAGAGGACGCGCGCCCGGGCTGGGACAGGTCCAGGGCGCATTTTCACAGACTGAGCTCCCGGTCTGGGAGCAACACGTTCCAGCTGCCCGCTTCCTGCCCCATCAACGCGGCCGCGCGGTCGAGGTCTGGAGGCGACGCCCTGGCAGGGGCAGGAACTAAGTCACAAATTCAGACTCCAGAAGCAAAGGCTGCGGTGCTTCCGGGCGGGAAGAAAACTGCAGGTGGGTGGAGGATGCGGTGCGCGGGAATTTCCCCACAGACGCTTGCTATTTTCTTCTCACCTTTCAGGAAGGTGCCCCTCTACCTGCGCCCTCCCCGGCGATGTGGAGCTCCCCCGAGAGCTTAGCTACTCGCTGGCTCCCTTCGCCCGCGCCCGCACCCGCACACCTCAAGCCCCGCTTACCGTCCGCTGCTCGGTCCTAGAGGGCCCAGAGGGTATCTCCTGAAACCAACTCGCCTTCTTCGAGCCAGCCCCGACGCATCTCGAGAGTGGCGGGAGGCAACGCGGCCAGAATATCCCAGAGGAAAAAGTGGGCGTCGGAGGCCCTTGTCCCAGCGACTCCCCCACTGCACCGACGGAGTCCCGGGACTGCACGGATCTGAGCCCTTACCTGCCTCGGCGCCTCCTCTCTATGTGATCTGCGGCCCTGGAAGCCGGATCGAGGGTCACAGGGTGGTTGGGCGCCAGCGGGCCGCTCGGTTTTCGCCTCGAGGACTGGGACTTGCACTTGCAGAGCCGCTGCGTGGGGGATGTCCCTCTTTTTTCCTCGCCCTGGCGCGCTCCCCCGGTTCGTCACGGTCTCTGGGTTCCAGCTGGAGTTGGCGCTCGCCCCCGCAGCTCTTTCCTGTGGCTCGGACCTGTGAGCCCCGCCCCGCGCTCGACTCCGCCCCGGGGTCCCCGCCAGCCCCCGAACCGAGGCCGAGGGTGGGTGCCCAGCTCCCGCACCCCACCGCGTGCTCTTGGGCTGGTGCGTCCAGGGCGCCGGGCACCGTAGCTCTGGTCTCCCTGACGCGGGTCCCGGGGCAGCGAGGGCCGCCCCTCGCAGGGATTTCAGCGCCTTCGCCTACAGTCTGAATCGGACCACAGTAGCCGGGTTTCGACTGTGCGCTTGGGAACAGCGAGCACCGCCCTCTGCCGCCAGCCGTGGCACGGCACCCGGGTCGCGGGCGCAGGAGCGGAGCGTACTGTCTTCCGGAGGTGCCCAGTGCCAGCGTCCGCGCCTACTACAAGGTGACTCTTTCAAGGAAAGCCCGGCTCTGACGAGTGCAGTGTGGGCCTTTTGGCGATGGCGGTGAAGGAGGAGGCCCCCAGGAGGAAGCTGGGGATGGGGGCAGCTTGCCCTGCTCAAAACCCCTAAAGTCCTCACTCAAACTTTGGGATGACCACCGCCATCAGATTCCAGGGCCATATCCCAGGATTGCCTCGGCCCATCTGTCCCGAGAGTCCGGAGCCCTCCACTTTGCTTCTAACAGGCTCGAACCCCTCCCACGATCTCCCTGGTTAAACACAGGAACTGCCCATTCAGATGACTGGTGCCCAGGAAGCTCTGGGTGTACAGGATTGGACCTGTGGCAGGACCCTGAAGGTCTAAAAAGGTATTCCCCATTGTTAAACCCCAGCCAGCGGATAATTGGCAGGTCAGAATATAGACTCCACTATGTCAGAGCTTCCCCCCGCCCTTTTTTTTCCCAAGGGAATCTGGAATTTGAGAACTTAAAAAAATACTCTTTGGGTTTGTTAAAGCAAAATTCTTGTTTTGGCTAAAGAGAACTTGTCTCAGACTGAACACAGTCCACAGGACTGCCAATTAAAAAATTTGTGGAAGCCTGTAATCCCAGCACTTTGGGAGGCCGAGGCGGGTGGATCATGAGGTCAAGAGATCGAGACCATCCTGGTCAACATGGTGAAGCCCTGTCTCTAATGAAAGTACAAAAAATTAGCTGGGCATGGTGGCACGTGCCTGTAATCCCAGCTACTCAGGGGGCTGAGGCAGGAGAATTGCCTGAACCCAGGAGGCGGAGGTTGCGGTGAGCCGAGATCGCGCCATTGCACTCCAGCCTGGGTAGCAAGAGGGAAACTCCATTTCAAAAAAAATTTGTGGGTGAATGAACTTCAAATCCCTTCATATTGTGACATTCTGTGATTCTGACTTTCCCACCTTAAGTGAAACTGACCCCACTCTTCTCCCCTCTTAGCATCTCTCCGGGCCTGATCAAAGGCAGGAGAGCCAGCTGTTTGCTTTTCTCCTGGGGAGGGGCTGCGATTGGGCAGGTGTTCTATAGGGTCAGGGCAAACTCCAGAGACAGAGGCAAAAGAGGCTCTGTTGCTCCAGAAAGGGAGATGATGAGGTAGCCAGTTACACACCCTAGGCATATTCTTTGGCATAGCTCATACTTTTCAACTTCAGCTAGAGGCTTCTCTGCTCATGGACCATGCCTGCCCTATTCAATGGGGGCAAACAGACCCCTAGAAACATCTGCCTGCTGGTGCTTTCATGGAATCCTCTAAGATGAGTTAAAGCACGGTTGCTTCCACACAGATTTGGAGATCTGCAGATGTCGTTGTAGTAACTCCAAATACTGACCACCCTCGACAGAGTAGGAGCTTTTTTTTTTTTGAGAGGGAGTTTCGCTCTTGTTACCCAGGCTGGAGTGCAATGGCGCGATCTCGGCTCACCGCAACCTCCGCCTCCTGGGTTCAGGCAATTCTCCTGCCTCAGCCTCCTGAGTGGCCGGGATTACAGGCACGCGCCACGACGCCCAGCTAATTTTTTGTATTTTTAGTAGAGACGGGGTTTCACCGTGTTGACCGGGATGGTCTCGATCTCTTGACCGCGTGATCCACCAGCCTTGGCCTCCCAAAGTGCTGGGATTACAGGCTTGAGCCATCGCGCCCGGCCCAGACTAGGAGCTTTTTCTGGGAGTGGACATGCTTAGAAAATGGTGCAACAGGCTGGGTGCGGTGGCTCATGCCTGTAATCTCAGCACTCTGGGAGACTGAGGTGGGTGGCTTACGAGGTCAGGAGATGGAAACCATCCTGACTAACATGGTGAAACCCTATCTCTACTAAAAACACAAAGAATTAGCCAGGCATGGTGGCGCACACCTGTAATCCCAGCTGCTTGGGAGACTGAGGCAGGAGAATCGCTTGAACCTGGGATGCGGAGGTTGCAGAGAGCCAAGATCATGCCACTGTACTCCAGCCTGGTGACAGAGCAAGACTCAGAGAGAGAGAGAGAGAGAGAGAGAGAGAGAGAGAGAGAGAGAGAGAGAGAGAGAGCAGGAAGGAAAGAAAGAAGGAAGGAAGGAAGGAAGGAAGGAGAGAGAGAGAGAAAAAAGAAAGTGCTACTGGGATTTGTCTTGGTTTGGGTTTCAGGAGATTCCCAGACAAGTGGAGGGGAAGTGAGACAGAGAAGGGAGAAGGGCCCATACACTATATGCTAATAAGCAGGGTGCCACTGGGGCTTACTCCAGTTGACCTGCAGGCTGTGTGGAACATGCCACATGGTTGTTCACGGCAGCACAGGGAGGCTGGACATTCAGCCATCAATTTCTACCCCACCTCCCATGGACAGGTTACCCGAGGGCCAGAATTTCCCTCACTTTCAGGTCGTGTCCCAGTGTGGTGTAGAAAGCCCAAGGCTGAAAAGAAGAGAGCATCAGGCCGTGTGGGTGGGAGGTGTCATGGTGCCTGGAACTGCATCTGCCAGTGAGTCCAGGAGAGCAGAGGAGATTCCAGGCAGGTGATCACTCTCACAGCTGCTACAGGAGGGCAGCAGAGGGGCCTTCCTTTCCAGAGGTGGGCAAGAGCCCTACTTCAGCTGGAGTTCATAGACTGAACTGGGTGTGAACCCAGAGAAACTGGGTGATTTGAGTGGGATTTTGAGAGGGGCTGAAGACTTTGCATTAGGTACTTTGAGGTAACTTACAACCCCACTTGGGCTCACAAAGCTGGCGAGAACTGGGGAAATGGAGATGACTTAGGTGAAAATTATTAACGGACTTCTCCTAGTCAAAGAGATGTCTCTATTGCAAGCCCACAGTCTCTTCTTCTTATCTCTGAAAGAGACTTCTCTCTGAAGTCTTTCTGGTGAGAAAGGCTTAGCTGAACTAGAGGATAAAGTGCTTAGGGAGGGGAAGATGCCAAGGGGAGGAAAGAAAAACCTTACAGACTGGAGTTGCTACAGAGCCTCAGGGGAGGGGTTATCTACACACAACTGGACATGAGAAAAATGGATGAGGTAAGGATACTTTGATACAGGGCCAGAAGATTATATATTGGAATCCACTTGAGAGACAAGAATAGAAATTTAACAGGTGTAATATTTTGATAATATTAAATCTGAATGGTTTTTATTGTTCCCCCCACAAATCCTAGTGCATGACAGTCACTCCACTAGTATGAATTCAGGAAATTGGAGTAGGTTAATGCCGCCTCAGAATAACATCTCTCAAAGATACTCCCGAATAGCGAGGGTGGAATTGTTGGGTCAGCCTGAGATAGCCAGATAGAGCCACATCGAGGGATTCTTTTAAATGGGAGAGGGAGTATGTGTCACTACTCAGAATATGTGTCAGTATGTGTATAAAGGGAGAGAGAGCTCAGGGTTTGTCAGGTAAATCTGATTTTCAGATAATTTTTTAAAATTACTTTTACTATGTATTTATTTTTTAGAGGCAGGGTCTCCATCTGTCACCCAAGCTGGGGTGCAGTAGCACAATCATAGCTTGCTGTAGCTTCAAACTCAGGCTCAAGTGATCCTCCCACTTCAGCCTCCTGAGTAGCTGAGACTGCAGCCTCGAGCCACTGTGCTTGACCCCGAAATTATTTTTTTATTTTTATTTTTTTCTTTGTGGGGGGCAGGGTCTCCCTGTGTCACCTAGACTGGAGTGCACTAGTGTGATTATAGCTCGCTGCAGCCTGGATTTTCCAGACTCAAGCAGTCTTTTAGCCTCAGCCTCCCTAATAGTTGGAAATACAGGTGCCTACCACCATACTCAGCTTTTTAAATGTAAGTGTAAATTTATTTTTATTTTTAGAAAACAAACAAACAAGAAATGAGGTCTTGCCATGTTGCCCAGGCTGGTCTTGAACTCCTAGGCTCAAGTGATCTTCCCACCTCAGCCTCCCAAAATGCTGAGATTGCAGGCATGATTCACAGCACCTGGCCCCTAAATTACTTTTGATAATTGTTTTATGTTTCTTGAAAGCGACTCTTTTCTAAGACAAAACCACGTGGGTCTTCAGGTTTATACAGGTTTTATATGTAAACTTTTTCAGTTGTAAAGAAATGAATACAGACTCTCTGGAGCTTGATTTGCCAATAGATATTAAAAAGGCTTGAGGCTGGGCACTGTAGTTCGTGCCTGTAATTCCAGCACTTTAGGAGGCCAAGATGGAAGGATCCTTTGGGGCCAGGAGTTTGAGAACAGCCTGGGCAACATAGTGAGACCCCCGTTTCTACAATTTATTTTTTTAAATTAACTGGTATGAAGGTAAATGCCTGTGGTCCCAACTTGCTTGGGAGGATTGCTTGAGCC